TTTTTTTTTTTTGGGTGCTCAGGCTGGTGCTGAGGACAGGAGGAGTCTCCTCCTGCTGCAGCCATGCTGGGAACCCCCCTTCCTCCTCCTTTTCTGTTCTGTGCTGCCATCCCTGCTCTTCCTTGCTCCTCTTCCTCTCTCCCCTGGAGCACCGCATGGCTCAGCATCGCCCCTCTCCCCTAAAAACTTGGGGGGGGCAAGGTGAAATGCTTTGCTTTCCAACGAATGTGGGGCCGGGCCCCCCCCCGTGGGTGGCTGCTCGGTGTCGCTGGGTGCCTCCTGTAGCAACCAGCCCCAGGATTGCGCTGCGGAGGATGCCCTCCATCCGGCAGACGCTGCAGGAGATGGGGGTGAAGGTGTCCGACGTCTTCCCCGAGCTGAGGTCCAGCAGACACAGCAGCAGCGTGGCCGGCCCCAAAAACGGGACGGCTCCCACCCTCCTCACTAATTACCTGGACGTGAGGGGCCGGGCCCCCCCCCGTGGGTGGCTGCTCGGTGTCGCTGGGTGCCTCCTGCAGCAACCAGCCCCCGTGGGGTCCCTCCCCCGGGGGGAAACGTGGTGCATCCCCCCTGCTGCATCCCCCCGGGGGCCGGTGTGGGGCTGGGGGGTGCCGTAGGAGCGGGACCCACCGTGTCCCGTCCGGCAGCCCCACGGCGCGGGTGGCTGCTGCCATCTAGAGCTGCTTATTCCCCCCCCGGCATTGTGTATTTGCTGCTGGGGGGTCACGTCTGTGAGACCCCGTGATGGTCCCCATGCCGTGGCTTTTCCAGACTCAGTATTTCGGAGAGATCAGCATCGGGACCCCCGCGCAGACCTTCAAGGTGGTCTTTGACACGGGCTCTGCCAACCTGTGGGTGCCGTCCTACAAGTGCTCCCCCCTCTACAGCGCCTGCGGTGAGTATGGGGGCACATCCCTCCACCTCCAGAGCTGGTCGAAGTGGGCTGGGATGGGTTTATCTTTGCACTGGGGGGGGGAGTGGGCTGGGATGGGTTTATCTTTGCACTGAGGGGGGATCTGCCTGCTGCTGTCCCATCCCTGGCACCGGGGTGGGGTGGGTTCATCATCCCATGGAGACTGGGGGAACAGAGACCCTCGGCTGGTCCTGCCGTTGCTGCCTCCACCCCTTTTCTTTGATGCACCTTCTCCCTCTCCCCAGTCTCCCACAGTCGCTACGACTCCTCCAAGTCCAGGACGTACATCTCCAACGGCACGGGCTTCGCCATCCGCTACGGCACGGGAAGTGTCAAAGGCTTCCTCAGCCAGGACATCGTCATGGTGAGTCCATGCCCTGGATTCCCAGACCCAGAGCTGCTCCGATGCCCTGGATTCCCAGACCCAGAGCTGCTCCGATGCCCAGAATTCCCAGACCCAGAGCTGCTCTGATGCCCACCCGTGGCTCTGCTCCCCAACACGAGTCACCCCGGTTACCCAAGAGTGTGTGTGGGGGGGTGTCTGGTGGGGATTTAGCCCCCCTGCTCTCTGCGTGGACACTCGTGCCCTTCCCCAGGTATCAGACATCCCCATCATCCAGGTCTTTGCCGAGGCGACGGCGCTGCCCGCCTTCCCCTTCATCTTTGCCCGGTTTGACGGGGTGCTGGGGATGGGCTACCCCAGCCAGGCCATCGATGGCATCACCCCCGTCTTCGACCGGATCCTCTCCCAGCAGATCCTCAAGGAGGACGTGTTTTCCGTCTACTACAGCCGGTGGGTCTCAGGGGGGAGCAGGCACCGGGGCTGGGGAGATGCTTGTTTTGCAGGGGATGGACATTGCGACCCCAGCGGCGCTGGGTTTGCACCTCGGGACTGGGAATGCAGAGCTCAGGCTGGGATGGAGGGCACGGGCATGGGGAAGGATGTCTGGAGGAGCTGGGGTGGAAGGAGGCAGCACAAGAGGCAGAGCCAGGTGGATGCTTATCTGGAGCTCCCAAGGCTGGGAGAGGCTGCTCCACACTCATTTATCACTGTCGGATTGCAGAGTCGCCAGCTCTGCTAGTGGGGCTGGAGCAATCACAGCCCAGAGGAGATTTAGTGTTTCATCTAAAGGGAAAAATTAAAAAAAAAAAAAATCTATTGAAGAAAAATCCGCACCAGCAGCCAAACCCCCATTCATTTCTTGCCCCAAACTGTTGTGCTCCAGCATCCCTCCTCCCAGCAGCACCGAGGTAGGGCAGGCTGGCAGTGTGCAGTGACACACAGCCCCCCAAAAACATGCTTAAAGCAGGCAGGGTGGCTCTTCACCTCAACTGAAGGTGGATCCATCAGTAACGAACAAAGCTTAACGATGCTGGCTGCTACTGCAGCCTCGTCTGGGTGCTGCTTGGGTCCCCTCAGCGCCCAAGGGAGGCAGTTTCTCTGGGACCACAAGCTTATGGAGCATCTCTCTCTTTGCAGAGCTTCGAAGTAAGAAGATGAAAAGCACGAGCGCTCTGGAGATGGCACCCACTAACAGCCACCCACGCACCCCGGGGCCGGGCTGCAGACCCCACTCACACCACCTGGTCCAGGCAAACCCTGTGCTGGTCCACGGGACCTCCCACCACCCCGGGCACTGCCCACACGCCTGCCTGGCACAGCTCGAAGACCTCAGCATGTGGCACCCCCTCTTCTGCCAGCTCTCTCACCCATCTGAACTAACTCGGGGTTCCTTCTGCTCCACCTTGCTCTCTGCCACTGCTCACGGGGTCAGCAGAGCCTCGCACCTCGGGCTGGTCCCTTCTCCCTGGTGTTTTGTTTTTTTCAGGGACAGCAGCCAAGGGGGAATCACTCCACTGTGTTTTTACACCCTTAGGAACGCTCCTCTGAAACCTGGGGGGGAGATAATCCTCGGAGGCAGCGACCCAGCCTATTACACGGGGGACTTCCACTACCTGAACGTCAGCAAGAGCGGCTACTGGCAGATCAGCATGAAGGGGTGAGGCCAGGGATGCCCCTGCACCCCACAAACCTCCCCGGGAGTGCGAGGGGGGGCCCTGGGGAGAGCTCTCTGGGTGCTGGGGGAGGTGGTCCACGGAGGCATGTGTTCATTCCGTGGTGCTGGTGGATGCTTCTTCCCTCTGGAGGGGAGCGGGGTCGGTTCCCCATCACCGAGTTGCATCTCCAGGCTCAGGAGGAGCTGGGGAACGCAGAGGGGGTGGCACCGTGGGCTGATTCAACTTGGAAGCTGCAGTGAAAGAGTTTTAACCCCCTTTAGTCCTGCCCAAGGAGTGTGAGGCACTGAAACAATCCCGCTTTGTTTGATTTAAAAAAAATATGAAAAAAACCCCACATGATGAAGCTTAACATTCACATTTGAGACCATTGAAGGGAGGGCTCCCAGTGCCCCTGGAGAGTCTCTGCTCTGGAGGCACCAGGAATAGCACATTCTTGGCTTGGCTGGTGTTTTCTGGCCAAAGATGTGGCACGCTCCCCCGTGGGTGTGTACAGCCCTGGGAGCCCAACTACAACCGCTCTCCCCTCCCGCTCCAGGGTGTCCGTCGGGGCTGAAATCCTCTTCTGCAAGGAAGGCTGTTCGGTGGCCATCGACACAGGAGCATCCTACATCACCGGCCCCGCTGGTCCCATCTCCGTGCTGATGAAAGCCATCGGGGCAGCAGAGATGGCCGAAGGAGAGGTGAGCAACCCTCCCCTGCCCCACTCCGTGTCCCTGTCCCCCTGCTGCCCGTACCCCAGCCCATCCCTCCCCCGGCCCATGCTACTCAGCGCTGTCTCCCCCTCCTGCAGTACGTGGTGGACTGTGACCGGGTCCCTCAGCTGCCCAACATCTCCTTCCACCTGGGTGGGAAGCCATACGTGCTCAGCGGCTCAGCCTACATCCTTCGGGTAAGCTGCATCCCTCTGTGTGGGGTGGGAGGGGGGGGGATTCTCCCTGCAGTGAGTGCATTCTGCTGGGGAGAGCGGTGCATCTCGGGGTGCAGCTCTCCTGCAGCATCCTGTGCCCTCCTGGCTCCCCCAAAGCAGCTGAGATGAGCCCCAGAATGATGCTTCTTTTTTGCACCTCCTGTTTGGCAGAGGTGTCCATATAAGCCAGACCAACCTGTCGCTGCTTCCTTGGGTGGTTTTAGGGAGATTTGGGGTGAGCAGCAAAGAGCAGAGACAGGCAGGGACCCTCCTTCCTGGAGGAAGGGATGTCAAGGCCAAGGAAAGGGTGTTGAGAGGGGATCACAGCCCTTCCTTGGGGACGCTGCGGTAGAGATGTCCCTCCTGGCACCTCCATCACCGCCTGGGTCTCCTCCTCTTTGCAGCAATCCCAGTACGGGGAGGACGTCTGTGTGGTGGCTTTCTCAGGGCTGGACATCCCCCCACCGGCTGGTCCCCTCTGGATCCTGGGTGCCAGCTTCATCGGGCACTATTACACCAAATTCGACCGGCGCAACAACCGCATTGGCTTCGCCACGGCCCGCTGATGGCCGGGGGGGGGGCTTGGGGAGGGGGACGGGGGAGCCAGCCCCGGGGGCAGGAGCACCTCCGAGAAGAAAGGATTTGAAGCACAAACAAGAAGAGAGTTTCCTTCCAGCTCAGCCACCTCCTCTCTGCACCGAAGCAACTGCAAAACCTTGCCTTCTCCCACTCCAAAACCCCCGCTCTGCTTCCCGAGAGCCTCTGCTGCTGGGGAGAACCGAGTCTTAAATCCTTCTTCGGGGGAGCACCTTCAGCCTGGAAATCCAAACGGGATCCCGGGTCCGGAATTGCACCCTCAAGGGATTTTTAGGGTGCTGTGCACAAGAGAGGCTGGCACGCCGCGGGCTGCTGCTGGCACGGAGGTGCTCGCAGGTTGCAGACAGAGTGGGGAGGGATGGTCTGGTGGTTTGTGTTATTCTTTGAAGGGGAGAAAAGGAATCGTGCTGTGTGTGACGGTGGTTTTAGCTGCTGTTAACCCTGCCCCTCTCCATGACTTTAATATTAAACCATCTTAGAGCAACAGGAGGCTGAGTGGCTGCTGCTTCTTGCAGAGGGGGAGGGATCAGACACTTTTATTAAGAGAACTGGACAAGTGTTCCTCTGTGACCCACCGCTGCATTTACATCCCTCCCTGCTTGGTAGGAGTGAAACACACTCCCAGTTAGTGCTGCAGCACCGACGTGTAGGCAGCGCTGGGTCTTCCCAAAGAGCAAAACAAGCTCTTTCTGTGAGAGATGAGCTGGTGTGTGGGCTCCGCTGCCTCCCCACCGGGGGGGCTCAGGACCACTGGTGACATCCCTGGGGACAGAGGGACCGGGCTGTACGTCTGTTCTGCTGCTCTTTGGGGAGGGGAAGGTGCCTGCTGTGGTTAAGGGGGGCTGACTTTGCCCCCCTCTCCCCGCCTTCCCCCAGGAAGGCAGCTTTTGCTGGATCTGTTTTCGTTGCTGCTTTGGCTCCAGATAACACCCGGGGGCTGGGCTCTGTCCCGGCCGTGTGTGGACATAGATGATGCTCAGCAGGAGCTGGAGCTGTGAGCCCCCACACCGGCTGGCCTAGCAGGAGAGACAAACCAGTGCTCCCAGCTGGAGGCTGACATTTCCAGTCCTGCAGGAGAGAGCTGCAGCCCAGCGCTTGGAGTTACAGCCCGGCAGCTGCGAATCCAAGCGCTCCCCGATGCCAAGGGGTTTGCAACACCCTCCTCTCCGGTTCCACCAGCTCAGGTCTGCGACTGGTCCACAGCAGAGCCCTGGAAACGCTCCTGCACAGCCCAGCACAGCACTGGGGCTTCTGGAGCAGAGCCTGGAGCAAGCCACCATCTGAGTGCCACCGCTCCCAGAAGCTTCTCATCCTCCTTTCTGGCACCAGCCAAGGCTGCTGGTGAATTTCAACAAGGGCAAGTGCAAGGTCCTGCACTTGGGCCACAACAACCCCCTGCAGCACTACAGGCTGGGGGAAGTGTGGCTGGAGCTGCCTGGAAGAAAGAGACCTGGGGGTTCTAGTTGACAAGGGCCTGAATATGAGCCGGCGTGTGCCCAGGGGGGCAAGAAAGCCAATGGCATCCTGGCTTGTATCAAAAATAGTGTGACCAGCAGAAGTAGGGAGGTGATTGTGCCCCTGTACTCGGCACTGGGGAGGCCACACCTCGAGTGTTGTGTCCAGTTTTGGGCACCTCAATCCAAGAGAGATCTGGAGGTGCTGGAGCGAGTGCAGAGGAGGGCAACGAAGCTGGTGAGGGGGCTGGAAAACAAATCGTATGAGGAGCGGCTGAGGGAGTTGGGACTGTTTAGTGTGAGGAAGAGGAGGCTGAGGGGAGACCTCATCACTCTCTACAACTTCATGAAAGGACACTGTAGAGAGGTTGGTGCTGGTCTCTTCTCACAGGTAATTAGTGACAGAATGAGAGGGAATGGCTTCAAGCTCCAACAGGGGAGGTTTAGATTGAACATTAGGAAAGAATTTTTCACCGAAAGAGTGGTCGGGCATTGGAACAGGCTGCCCAGGGAGGGGGTGGAGTCCCCATCCCTGGCTGTGTTTAAGGGCCGTTTAGATGCAGTGCTGAGGGACATGGTGTAGGGGAGGACTTTGTAGAGTAGGGGAGATGGTTGGACTCGATGATCCCAAGGGTCTCTTCCAACCTAGACCATTCTATGATTCTAATTCCCAGCGCTGCCCCAAGCTCAGGCTGACACGAGCTGCCTCCTGGAGTCATTCAGGAGAGGGATGCTCCTGCCAGCACCGAGATGGTGGCTGCTGTGTGACCTTTCCAGGTAGGCAGCAGCCTCTGCTCCGCTGGCCAGCCCTCTCCTCCTCTTCCTCCCAGCATGGCCCTTCATCCTCTGCCCTGCCCCACACCGAGCAGCAGCCTCCCAGCAGAGAGGATGTGGCCGAGCGGATGTTTGTCCCTCCTGGGAGAATCCCTGCAGCATTTAAACCTCTTCACGCCGGGATGCACAACCCTGGAGAAATTCAAGGCACCCAACGGTGTTACTGGTTTCTTGCCACCACCTTCTGTGGGACAGGTCCATCACCTCCAGCACGGGGGCGAGGGGAGCGGTGGCGATGGCTCGTTGGGGACAGGGGGTGGAGGGAAGGGGACCCAGCTGTCAGCGTGTCCCGCTTTTATTCAGCATTTCCTGATCATTCCTGGGCAGCACAGGAAACCCCAGGGGCTGGGAAGCAGCGGCAGCTTGGGAACAGGCAGGGGAGGCACAGGGAGGGGGGGCAGAGCTCCCCCAGCCTGGGGACATCCTCACAGGTCAGTGCTGGAGCTGCAGCCCCACCTCTCCACAACCCCCTGGCCCCACAGCCATGCTGGCCGGCTTCTCCCCTTCCTTCCTACCGCGGGGAAACCCTCCAGTTGGAAATAACCAAACCTCCTCTGTCCTGTTCTACACCACAAAGGCTCTGGAGAAGACTCGAGGGGGTGCGAGCTGAGTTAAGCCCCCTCCATGACGGCTTCTGCCTTTAGCCCTCAGCTGGAAAATGGTCAGGCTGGCCTAAAATAAGGATATTTTTTTGCGGATCCAGCTCCGTTCCTCTTCAACACAGTTGTTCCGAGCAGTGGGAGGGTAAAAATGCCTGGGCTGCTTGCGGTGCTGCTCCTGGGCCCCTTAAGCCATCCCATTAACACCTCTAATCGCCTCTGCCAGGGCAATTTCCTGGCTCGGGGAGGCTGGAGGCAAAACTCACCCACAACCGCCCCAAATTAACGCTCGGGATTGTTACGGGCGAGCAATTAGGCCAGCAAAAGCGGCGGGAGCAATTATGACCATCCTATTAAAACCGACAGAGCCGGCGCTATATTTAGAAAGGCTGGGAGCTGGCCGGTTGATATTTTTTATTTTATTTTTTTTTCCCCCCTTTCCTTAAACGATTTTCCCCAAGTCTCCACGGTCCATTTAGCTGGTTTCAGCCGCAGCCAGCTGTAAACTTTGGAGGGGGCATTCTCTGCTCCCAGCCATGTGCAGTTGTTATTTCCTCCGATAATGAAGCCGGGGCTGGAGCGGTGTCCAAAAGCTGCGGGGGGGAGAGGGGGGGCTGTGCTCTGTCTTTAAATACCAACCCTCTCTCCAACCCACCTGTAAAACCCCCGACGGGGGTCAGGGCTTGGTGGGTGAGATGGGAGAGGGGAGGATGTGTCCCTCCTGGAGCCCAGGATGCTGCCAGCACATCCTGGGGTGCATCCTGGGGTGCAGCCTTTTCAGCCCAGACCCCAAAGGGATGGGGGAAGCTGTGCGGAGCCCCCCCCCCCGGGTGGTTGAGGGGGT